ATCTTCCATAGGTGTTCAGCTGGGTGTAGACCTAGTGACCACAAACTCCATGGCATATGAAGTCATAGTAACTGGTGCAAGCTTTTTATATGTCCACACTGCAGGAACGTGGGACCAGGTTGCCAGCGAAAGGACAAAAGGAAGTACTCATCAAAATATCTAGTGATCCCTCATTTCTCATTGATGGGAACAAGATCCTAAAAGAGGCCACTTCGAATGAATGGCTCAGGTTTTAACCCCATTCTACGTTATACCTACAATAAGGAAATAAAATAACATTTAGACATTTGCTTTGAAAAGAGGCTTCACCTTGTTCAGCAGCTTCAAGTCCAATTGTCATCTTAAAACACTGAGTACGAGAAACAATTTTTAGTGAAATCTGTTACCTGTAAAATTAGATTTGCATGCAGCAGTCCAACCAATCTCGCCTTATTCAGTTTAATTTACCACAACGTCTCCTGAAGGTCTGTTGCTCTGTAAGTGCACATCTTGCTGTCAGGTGAAGTATATTGGGACTTCTGTAAAAGCCTCTTCATGATTTAGTATACTTTGGAGGTGCTTACGTACTCCTTATGAGCTTACAGCTCTTAGGACATTTTAAGCACTGTAAGGAATTGCATTCACCAGAGCGCTGGTCCTGAGAAATATGCCTCTGATAAAGTCTCGGGTCAGTAAATTCTGTGTTTTTTTTCCCCTCTCCAGTCTACAAGTGAGTACCTGGGCCTCGTGGGAACGGTACAGCTTTCACTCACGCCGTAAAACCGTCAGGAGTAATGCCTGGCTGAAGATATAACACGCGGCATTACATACATGAGTCATGCTTTAAATCTCCGCTTTAAATACCCTCCTATTTCACATGACAACAAGCATGCTGCATTCTCTACATTCCTTCATGTGTGCTGAGGATTATTTCAGTGCCCTGTCATTAGGACGAGGGCTACGTGATGACAACACTGACTTAGCCAGCTTTACTTGACTTTGATGTGGCCTGTAAATATTTCCCCTGACACAGGGCTTTTCGCAAAGAAGGTTCCCCTTTGTGGAGCAGTCGTAATCATTATAGGATTGTGTTGCTAATGGTGTTTCAGAGACAGATGTTTTACCCAAGAAGGTTCTCTTGGCCGCTTGAGAAAAAGTCACACATTTTAGTTGATGAATTGGCAGATGTTGGTTTGTTGAATGTTCAGAGTGTGCTTGTTTTCTTTAGACCAGTGGTTCAGCATATTTGAACTTCTTCATCTTCAGGGCCACTCATGTTCAAATGTGTTCACTTGAAGTCAGTTTTAATTGGATCTAGGTAACTTTCAGTTAGAGTTAGCTACAGTTATGGTAGGTACACCCTTTTTCATACCAGAACATATTGAAAAATAATCTGGTCTTTACAAGGTTTAAAATTAGGTGATGATATATTATCATACCAACATGCAGAAGTATTTCGTGAAAACCAATCACATCTCATGATTTAGTAGCGTGTAGAACTACATTTAGCAGCAATAACTTGAAATAATTCAGGTCTAAATGACTTTATCAGTCTCTCACATTATGTGGAGGAATTCTGGCCCACTCTTCTTTACAGTGTTGCTGCAGTTCCTTGAGACTTTATGCACAATTCTCTCAAGGTCCCAACTCAGCATTTCAATCAGGTTGAATTCTGGACTTTGACTGGCCCCTTGCAGCAGTTTGATTCTTCCATTTTTCAGCCATTCTGTTGTAGATTTGCTGCTGTGCTTGGGATCATTGACCTGTTTCATGACATAAATTGGGCGAAGCTTTATCTGTCAGACAGATGTCCTCACATTTGACTACCACTGTGCTGACAGCTAACAAGAGGTGATTGTGCTGATGTGTTGTGTTTTGTGCATTATGGTCAAGCATCTCCACTTTGGTCTTGTCCTTCTAAAGCACATTGTTGCACAGGTCTTGTGATTTTTTTCAGGTGCAACTTTGCAAACCTAATTCACCTTAGGGTGAATTTGCCTGGGCCTCCACTCCTGGGAAGACTGGCAGCTGTCATGAACGTTTTCCACTTGTAAATGACCTTTCTCACTGCAAATTATTTGGAAATGGCCTCACACTTCCTAGAAGGCAGCACCATTTGCTTCTTTAAGGTTATTGCTGATATATGTATCTGTGCTTTCACCTTCCTGTTCTAACTTTTCTGCCATACACAAGTTACACCTTTTTATTCATAATATATAAGCAGTTTCAACTGTTTATCCACACTACTAGCTAGCATACCTCCTACCAAAGCATGAGATCTTTCTGTTAGAGTGTACTTTGTTTCTTCTGCAGAACACATTTCACAGCTACAAGCTTCTCTCCGTCCACCCATGTGGTCAGGATGAATTCAGAGAACACAAACATGAACAATCATTTGCCATGGTTTACACTATTGATTAACTACTCCTGGAGCCAACGGTAAATTTAACTTTGGGAACTTAGCACTGAGCACTAATGGCCTTTTCGCCTTGGGTCTGAGTGCCATTCTGGCCCCGTTCTGTGACACTCTGAGACTGACAGATGGCTTTAGGGCAGTGTTGTTAGGCACTGTAATTGGTTGCTTTCCAAACATGAAAGATTTGTCATGCTGATTAAGTAAAAATGGATGATTCCAGTGATGAAAGGGATGATGGATGGAAACTGAGTTAATGTCTTTTGTTGTCATTTTTTTTTGCATGACAGAAATTGGAAAATGTGACACCACACTGTTAAGCATCGATCTGTTGTCGTTCTTTGCCCCTATTTGCCTAATGGTCACCAGAGTGCCCTTGAATGCAAACTCGGCAGGACACCTGGGCCTTTGCCATGTTCTCCTGGCACTGGTGCAAGCTGCTGGTGATGGCTGTCTTTGAGTGGCAGTCTCAGATGCGAGATTAGGTCCAATAATTGCTTAAGAAGCAGCAGACAAAACAACTGTGCTTAATGTATTTAGATCAGCAGTCTCTGAACATCTGGTGAATTTGCTCTCAAGGCCACAGCTTAAAAAAGCCCATGTAGTGATAACAGAAGTACTTTAGGTCTGTTCAGGCCCCAGATGTGGTTCACAGGGAGGTCAGAATCATTCTGTCCTCATATTGCTCAATGCAAATTATTAAAAGTGCTGTGTTACAGGCTGTGAAATAGTTCAGTGTTTCATGTCTGAAAAATCAATAAGGGTGTTGAAAGCCTGTGCCAAATAGTTGTATCTGATATCATTGTGTATGTGTTTTTCCACAGTATCATATGAAGTGTTCAGGGACCATCATTGCTACTCACCAGTCATGTTGTGGTAATGTCATAGCTTCCCTGTGAATCGGGGAAAAGACATAAAAACAATGCTTATAAGTAGAAGTAATAGCATAAAGATCGGCAACGTTCATGTAGTCATGACAATGTGTGAAGCTCAAAACTTTTACCCAGGAGACTGGGTTTGTGCTCTGTGTGAAACCAAAAGGGAATATTGAGCTGACTTGTTGTTTCTGCTTTTGTAAATGATCTGTTTTACCTGTTACTTTGCTTAGGCCTGGGCACCAAGCAACAGTATTGTGCAAAAGTCTTGAGCCATCCCCCAATCCTTTGTGTTTTGCTACGAAAAACAGAATCATTGTCATGCTGCAAAATGAAGCTGCTGCTGTTGCTATTATGGCAAGAAAAAATGTTAAAAAAAGATTAAATCATAATCACGTAAAGTATATTATAATGGCAGAAAGCCCTTAAGTCAGCATGCTGTGTTATTGCAACAGTGTTACTGGTCAATTGCATTGTTGGTGCTGGGGTTATGTTGGTTTTGACCATTAATGCAATATTAGACCATTTGTCAAATAATTGGTCATTTTTGAGGCTGTGTTGCTGTTTTTGGCTGATTATGTGGGATTTCCCAATGTGTTTCCCAGAAAAGTGTATTGCTATGATATAGTGTATCACTACAACAAGAAAAATTTCCATATTGACCAAACTTGTCTCGTGTGGACACTCTGCTGTATTTTATCATCAAGGGTTTTCCCACAAAGTTTGGAAACTGTAGACACGGTGTTTGTTTTTCATTTTTCTCCTTGAATTCTGGTCTACAACAGTGACTTTGTGCTTTATTGAAGGGATTTATTTTGGCAGTGACTAATTAGAGAACTGAGATTACAATAGCTGCAAAGGGAATTATGTTCAGATGCAGGCCAAGGCGCCACAGTTGCAGTAAAAGCAAAAATAAAAGGATTTATACTTCACAATCAACATACATGACATAAAAAAAAATGGATGGTTTGCAGATACTATGACCATTTTTCCCCTCCTAGACTGAGATTTCTGGCTTAGGGACTTCTTCTTGGGAATCCCCATTATTCAATTACACTCACAGCACATGATGAGAGTGTCTGGAAATCAATGGAGAGCATCTGTCCCACAGAGATAACCATTTACCCATGAGATGTATCGTGAGCTGTCAAGCTAATATCTAATTAATTAGTCTTAAACCTCCACCGCACTGATCTGACAGCACAGTGTGTGCTCTGCTGTGTACTGCAGGTAGACACTGAGTATCTGAAAACCCAGATGTTTGAAGTATGGTGCCCGCTGTATGTGGCCTATTTCTCACAGTTACAACCCCCTTCTGCTATATGATGTCAGACCACTAAGAAGCAAATCATTAGGCCAAAGCCGAGAAATCCTAACATCTGTTTTTTCCATTCTGCTCTCAGCCTTAGCTCATTTTGTGTGTGTTGTAACTCAGTAGCGCACATTTTGTGAGTGTGGGCTATTCCCAGCTGACATTACACTGCCGGGCTTGCTTCTGGGCCAGCCATTAGAAGTTACCCAGAGGTACTTCTGGAATTACACATGGAGAGGGGATAAGAGGCTAAACTGAATTATCACACCTTTTAAAAAGCACTCCTGTCTTGACGTTCTTTGACATTTATGAAAGCAACACGAGGATGCAGTCAGGGTGTGATTTTGCATGTATTCCTTTAATCAGTGTTAGCATTTGACTCTTTGATCATTTACACATAAAGTTTTCTGTCTCTCGGCAGGAATACATGGACGCCAACAAATGCATTGATGAACTTCTCAAGCAGCTCGAGGAGGAGCGCCGAAACGTCCGAAGGTAAGAGGTTCTGCCTGAAGATATCAGCAGCTGCCTGCAATTCATTGCCAACCAGAGGCTGCAGAACAATGTTGTTTGGTTTTGAGCTTGAGACAAGCTTTGTGCACAGTTCTTGAGAAATGCTTTTTGTGTTGGAAGCACACTAAAAGTGGCAGACAAAGGGGGAGACTCCAGGCTCAGTTTGGGGTTGACTGGGGGCATTTCTCATGGAGGTCCTTTGGAGCAGATTTGCACAGACAATGGAAATGAAGAGCTTATGGAGATGCCAATCTAATGACCTTGTCCCCTCAATGCTGCTATCATCCTTTCCCTTCCAGCGATGCACAGCCCCCATAGAAAAGAGAGACAATTTTTAAACTTCACCCTCTTTTGTACAACCCTTTCTCCATCTCAATGGAGCTGTATTCCCCCGGCTCAAAGTAATTTTCCCCCTGAGTGAGCAAAGAGGGGCTGGGGGTTGGACAGAGGGGAAAGGGGAATAAGGGTCTCAGGATCGGTGGCTGCGGGGGGTTAAATGACCACTGACCATCCCCTTTACTCGGCCAGGACAGCCCCTTAATAAAGGAAGTGATGTGTAAAGGAATGACCCTCTCATCTAAGTCATCCCCACCCAACTTTCTAAGACATCTCGTGTGAGAGCCAGAGTGACCTAATAGCCACTTAGATGACCTGTGCAAACTGACCTGGGGACCAAATGGTTTCAAAAGCCTTGAACTTGTACAACTGCAACTGATTGAAGTACCCTGATTACCCTGGAAGCTGCATGTGAAACACAAATGCCCCAAGTAGTGTAGATTGGGCATTAACTGGTCATTAACCTGCCAGCGCCCTACCACGGAGTCCATGTGATGTCTGATTGCCCACTAGTGAAAAAATAGTGGATAAATGCCAGTGGGCTCTCTTCATGGTGCTCCCTTTTCAAAGCTCTACCTGTCCAGCTTCTGTCCAGCTTCCCATTTACTGTTTGTACCCCATGTGAGATGGTCAGTCAGTAAAAGTAGACAAAACCTGAGAAACCAAACCAAACCACTAACGGTCAGTTTGGTATGTTTTAAAAAGGACTAGACCGATTCTCTAAGTATCCCCCAATGCACCCCTGCCTTGTAAAACTGACATTTGTTTCCTTGAGGTTCAAAGATATAAACTCACTCATAACTCAAAGTAGTTTTTGCCATTTGAAGTACATCTTTCAAGTCAGTATCTTGATTGAAAGAATCATGGATAAAGGCTCCAGTTTTTCACGTAATGCTGGTGTCTTGAGGAGAAGTGCTATTTACAAAGATTGCTTTTGTCTTCCATGGGCTCTAGTGAGAGATTCAACTGTGAGGGCTCTGCATTGTTGCAAGCCTCTAGATGTTGTAAACAAACCAGTGGAAATCCGTACTTTGAAAATTCCTCGTCTTTGAAGCTCAGTTTTTAGAAACAACATACCACCAGCCAGGATTTGTTCTCATTTCTTTTCCAGTGTTGTTAGATTCAGAGCGGCGACAGTGATGAATGATTTCACAAAGGCTTTTGTTCAGCTAAAACATAGACCTCGACTTAAAAAAAAAAAAAAACAACCCAAAAAACCGCCTCCTACCCCTTATTAGGCAGCATCTCACGATGCTGTAGATGTCTCCCTCCACCCCTAAGAATATGGGGCCCATCAATCAGTCAAGAGGAGAAAGAGAAGCCCGTACATTCCTCTAGTTCTTTACATCCTTCCTTATGACCCAGTGACCTACTACATTCATGGCTCTCATTGTACCATATTATGGGGTAGTTTCACACTGGCAAGGTACACCAATTGGACAATTATGGCTGATCTCTGTCCTAATTTCACTTTTTTCTTTTATGTTAGAAGGCAGATACTACTTTCATTTAATTGCTAAATATGCACATCTTGGTCTTACTTTATATTTTTGATCAAATGGGAAATAGGTGAAACTTCTTTTGTCCAGTTTCCTCAATTTTTTTAAGGACACACTGCACACCATGCTGAAATATGCCAAGTTTTTAGCTAATAACTCTTTGGAAATCACCTTGTTGGTGCAAAAATAGTATTTTATGTCTGTCAAACTGTGTTATCTTTGGAATTTTATATTTAGACACAACACTGGTTCATCCGTTGAGTGTTTTATGCTTGAATGATTCATAGGTCAGCGTTAAGTGGCTTAGGAAATGATAAATAATCCTCTGAAAATGGCCAGTAACAAGGACTAGACTAAAAGTGAGTGAAAAAGTAGCCAATGTCCAAAAAAAGCTTTGAAAGACCTCCAGAAAGCCTGGAGGGCTATTGCCCGAGAGTGCTTGAATACATTTCAAGAATATCTGGCTCATTGGAAGCAAAATATGAAAGAAATGAGTGGTGGATCGAGACTTTTGCATTTTTATAAATTAAAAGAAAACATGGATGTGGTGTGTTGTGCAAAAGCTGGAGTTTTCACTGATGTTTGCCAAGTGGGTGTCATCTGTACCTAAACAAGCTCCAAATGTCGCAGAGCTACAGGTGGTAAGTGTAAATTAATGAAAAACATGGATTTTTAATTATCTGAATCTAATTAAAGATAATTTTGAGTGTCAGAAACACCTGCTATATCCTCGTCATCCTAAAGCCCCATGAGTTCACATGCAGATACACAATCGCCGTCTCTTGCACTCGGTCGCAGCATCATTGCTCGATGGAGCACAAAGCCCCAGTGGGATGCTGGCCGGCCTCTCCCACTCGATCTATTCAATGTGACCACGTCCTTGACAGACGGAAACAAAAGCTCCACGGCACAGTGTCAACATCAGATGGAGCAAATCCAAATTTGGAAACATCAGACACGTTGTACAGTTGGACACCAAACCCAGGGTTTCCAGTTATTCATCGTTTGTTTGCAGGGCACTCATTAAACATGATGAAATGTCTTTTTAAAGGTTTACACTCTCATTAGTGGTGGCCTTGATATGCCGCTGACACACAGTTGAGTCAGGGCAGGTTGGATGTGTTGAGGAAAAAGAGTTTATTAAAGTCGTTGCTGAGTGACAGACATGTGGTGGTGGGGAACATATGGATGCTCTGCAGCACTAAAAAGCATGACGGGCGGGGAGTGAGTTTGCATGACCTCTTTTTGACAAGCTGCTGTGTCAAGGCACCGTGACTGTGTACGTAATCTTCCCTGTGGATTAAAACAATGCAGATTAGTTTTTTTCCCTCTTTCCATCTCTACTTTCCCACTGTTGATTTGTCAATGTGCTGAGCTGGGGTTTTTTGTTTTTCCACAAATCTTCCCCTGACCTTGTTTTCAGTGGCCATAGCTGGCCAGTGTAAGGGGTCACATGGCCCAGAGCTGGTCTCACCTGCCATTTTCTGCCTGCTGGAGCAGATGGCGTTTGTCTGTGACCCTTTCCACACCTTGGAGGACAAGGAGGGATGAGGAGGGTGGCTGGCAGGCGGTGTGGGGTATGACTGAGAGAGGGGGGGGGGCTCCCTCATAGCAACTGGGAAGTGGGGAGTTGTTGTGATGAGGGAGCAGGGAGGGAGGCAGGGGACTCAGCTGGAGATGCTCGGGGCTTAGGACAGGTTGCAGGGAGCAGGCAACTGCAGCTGCAGCCCAAGTCGAAAGGACATTAACGACGACATCTGCTGATCAATAAGCTATTTGTCATGTTCATAGAGCAGCCCCGCTCCGAAGACGGCAGAGATAGAAAGCGGAGGTCAGATCAGATGTGCTCTTAGGTGGGGGATTATAGCTAATAGGACTTGCTTTGTGTAAGTGAATTCGCCTGTGGGTGGAATTGAAATTGGTCCATTTTTTCTCTGAGAAGCAGCTCAACATTTCTGCCTATTTGTCCTTCCTTGATCATACAATGTTTGAGCTTTAAGACCAACTATCAAAGACTGACTGGAAAGTCAAGAAAGTCCTTTCTTGAGCTGCAAATTCTCAAAATTGTTTGAGCTATTAAAAGTTTTCTGAGAGACTCTGAATTTTCTTAAAGTTTGTCCTTCTTAAGGGCATTGCTCGTACAAAGCGCCTTCGCCTTTAACCGAGGATGGTGGCGTTAAGTGAGAGAAAGAGCTAAATGAGTGAGCCTGTAAACATGCCAGAGAAAGAAAGACCACAGGAGCACAAAGCTGGGAAACAGCTTTACAAATCTGGACCTTGCTGATGTTGCTACAAGCCATATCTGGCCTCAAAGACGCCTGTGTGCTGCCGGCGGTCTGAGCAAGATGAAAGGCTGTAATCCTCAGCTGAAGTATGCGGCGAGGCCTGCTCTGCCGATGAGGAGGTGGATAGGGTTCAGCCTCCCGCAAACCCCTCCGACGCCCCGAGGATCTGCTGTCTCGCTTGGGCGAGAGCCATGCATTTTACAACTTTAATTGGATAAGTTGACCGGTCTAATGCAATAATTTGATCACGCTAAGCCTTAAAGAGATCTAATATGCTCCCAAAGTATATTTGTGCGCCCTCTGAAGTAAATGACTGAACCTAATCCATCCATTAGAGGTCACTTTACGGCCCAGGAGTCCAGACTCCAAAATATCTTAAAGGAGCAGTTAGTGGGCAAATAAATCAGTCTGTGAAACCCTCATTTAAACTTTCATGCGAGGGTGGAATTTGCCTTTTTAAATTTGTTGGTATTTTTCCTCAAGACTTTGTTATTTTTTAATAAAATGCTCGATTAAACCTTGTGGAGTGTAAACCATGAACAGCCAGTGGTAAAATGACAAAAGTCTCTGCTTTTCATGTATAATTATCTGGTTTTGCATATTATTTTCCTACTTGATGGCCAGTACGAGTTGTTTAGCAGCCCAGTATAAATTATCAGTCGGTGGCCGCCAATAACACAACCGTGACTGCGTGGTTTCACTCTGCTGAAAGGAAGATATGATGAGTTAAGTGTGGTTTAAAAAAAATCCAATTCAGAAGCTGTAACTGTGACTTTTCCTTTCAACTTAGCTTTCCCTTTGTTATAATATTTGCTTAATTTTCACCCATTTGTTTGGTTAGTTTTAGGCACCAGAGATGCTT